TGTTTTTCACTTGTTCAAAAAATATGTCTCACTTTCAATTTTTTTGAAATTGCATGAAAAATTGAAAATTTTTATAATTTAAACTTTGTAATTATTGTATACTTACCAACTTACCTTTTATTCCACCTGAAAATACGATTTTTACAATAATTACAAAGTGAAATCTAAAAATCTCAATATCACCTATTTTGGCGAAAAACATAGCAATTAACGAGTGAAAGACATGTTTCTGCAAGAATTCAGCGATTTTTTATTCTGCCATAACTCTTTTTCACAAAAAACATCGAAGGAATAATCGAAAAACCAGAAATGTAGGCTCGAATTGACGAAAAATTGACAAAGTTGCCGGTGTGGATTTACGGTAAACAATGGGCGCATCCGGGATTTCGGAGTGTTGTAGTCGGCCTACCGTATCAGACCCATATCGCACACATCGCTCACCCACCTAGAATCCACCTAGGATACGCGCGCATTCGGAACACTCGATTCAGCCTCTCCCGCATCGCACACATATGAGACTCATCGCAGCTCGTTGTTCGCAATATGTGTCAAACGGACTTCTAGAGGATCGCATATGGATCGGGTCCTTTATGCGCATCATCGCCCAGGACCTGTGTAGTGTCTAGTGGCTTTTTGTCGGCTGCAGCATTATACCGCGCCTTCGCCGATTCGGTTGTCGTTCTATACTAGAGGCGCCTAAAAAGACAGCTAATCGAGTGAATTCATATCACAGTGAATGGTTGCGGCATAATCTCCGGAGGATAGGAAGGGGTAGAAAAAGCCGATATCGTGCGTTGCGGGTTCGAGTTCGATAGCCAGCATTTTTTTGCGGATTTTCAACACAGTTCAGAAATGTGTGAGAATGTAAGCGAACGATTTTCTCTTCTTGAATGAAATGGTAAAACAAGAGTATCCCGTTTCTCAAGTTTGATTAGTTTCAAGTCGATTTAATATTTGATTGATTTTCGAAGCTTTCACTTTGTTTTTGTCTCAAGTCACTAGAAAACCTTGGAAGAAAATTTGGTGAAAAATCAATCGACGAAAACATACTCTTTACCAGATTATTAATCTGTTGATTCTTAGAGTCAGCCACTGATGTTCGGAACGGAGTTCGGAATTATGACCATTCTCGGAATAGAATTTCTACCGGAAAATTCCGAAAATTTTTTTGGAATGTCTCCTTTTTTCGGAATCCCATCTCGATCGGAATTTTTCCAAAGCTTCTTTTTTCGGAATAAGAGATTTTTGAATTACGGTATGTCAAAGACCCACGCCAAACATTTGCTTGCAGGTCAAGAGCGAACTTACGTTTGATATTTTTTTTTGCGCTGTCGAAATCTTTCTGTCAATTTTCACCAGTTTTTGGCGTTTTTGTGCATTAAGAATTGAATTTCTACTTTAAAACTGGAATTTTTTAAAAACTCCGAATATTCCGAAATTTTAACATTTTGAAAATCTGAAAATTTCGCATTTCCGAAACTCCTAAATTTTGGAAATCTAATTTTCGACATTCAGGAAAATTCCGAGCAGGGCATTCCGAACATCCCTGGAGCGGGCTGACCTATTGTGCGGTACGATAGGTGTTTTTTTTTTGAAAAATTTTCTTTGATTATTTTAAAATTTTTGTTTTCTTCTCTTCTTTGCCTTTTCACAGTTTCTGTTTCGGTAGGGCCCGAAAAGAATTTTTGCAAAATTTTTCCGCAAAAAATAGTGTTGAAGAATAGAATTCTTGCTCTTTCCTTCTTTCGCGAAATAATTTCAGTGAAAACATTTACATATTTGAATTCTACGTAGTAGATTACATGAGGGGTCAAATTTACCTATCGATCCTTCTTTTCTAGCCATAGTTACAGCCAATCAAAAATCCAAACCCCCCCCCCCCGCGGAGAAAAAAAAGGCTCCGCCCCTTTTGCTGTGGTGTCAACATGAAAAATAAAGGTCTCCCTTCAAAACCTACGTACGAAAAACTTGGAGCCATCAACGTGATCAGCTCCAGAATTTTAAGTTTTCCACCTCGGGCGGGCCGGGACTAGAGTGCCGAGTAGACTCGAAAATCGATGATTTTTGTCGGCTTTGGAAATCGACACAGTCGACATTCAACAATTCGACAAGGCTATTTGTCGATGAAAATCGAACTTTTCGTTGTCGATTTTGCGTCGACTTAAAATCGACAGAAAAATCTACAAAAGTCGACAAAAGTCGACGAAAAATCGACTTTTCCGGACTTCAAAGTAAAATTTCACCTCAAGAAAATTTTTTTCTAATTTTTTGAAGAAATCATTTTTTTGTGTAGAGTAACAACTTTATTTTTATGAATAAAAAAACAAATAGTGTTAAACTTAATTTCAACGGGGTACAAAATAGAGAATCACTATGTCTCAGAAGTTGGCAAGGAAAATAGAAAAAAATTCAAAGCGACAAAATTTTGAAAAAGAGAAGAAACAGAAGAACAAAGTTCAGCACTAGGAATTAATGTTTCATTATTTGGGCCAAATCGTAGTCGTACCCTTCTGTTGTCGACCTATTCTTCTTCGCAGATCTGAAGAAAAATCAGATTTTGAGGAAAAATAAGCTTTAATATCTTACTCCAAAGTGATTTTTTCCAATGATTTGATGTCGTGGCTCTTGATCTTTATGTACTATCTAAGATTAAGAACTTAACAAAAAAAAATATAATTTTCTGCTTACCGATCCTTCCATTTCTTCAACTTCTTTCTCGTGGTGACTGTTTAAGTGCTGATGCATCGTTGTGGTCGAAGAATGGAACTTTATGCTCCTTCCGCACAGTTTACAGGTCACAGTTTGTCCGTTATTTTGTTTTTTGAAGTATCGCCACGCTTTAGATTGATTTTGTGACGAATTCATCTTCAATAAGCAAGTATGTCATAAATGAAATAGAAAAAAAACAAAACACCCAAAAAAAAACAAGAAAAAATCGGTTTTTCAGTGGAAAATTCGATGAAAAATGCCTGTTTTTTATGAAAAATACCCCGGCCACAGGCAGTTTCTAGGTCACCGGCCGTGTAGTCCTCTCGGACAATAAAGTCGACAAAAGTCGATTTTTTCGTCGATTTTTCGTCGATTCAAAATCGACAAAAATCGACTTTTGTCGATTTTCACTTTCATCGACTTTTTGAATGTCGAATTTTGATCGAGTCGACGAAATCGACACCGATTTTAACGATTTTCGTCGATTTTTGTCGATTGTCAACAATCGACACAGCACACTAGCCGGGACCCTGTCGGGTGACGGGCGGTTTCGGAAATTTGCCCGAGATGGAAAGCTTAGTAAATTTAATTTCAATATTTTTTATCAGAATATGTTCTTCATCGTTTTGAAGAAGATCGATTGTATTTGACATTTTATCTGTCAGAGTTGGAAACATTTTCTCTTTTAAAGGTGGGGAGAAATGAAAAAAATAATGTTCTCGAAATTCCGTTCAAAGATGCCCCTCGAGGAGTTGAACTTGTGAAGACAAGGAGTGAGGGTGCGGCGCCGCTACCGACTGAGCCACGCGGGCAAAGAGAAAGCAGACGCCCGATTGCATACATAAAGGCGAGGACGACAGCTGTACGCAGAGTGACATTAAGCGTTGTACACCGTGACGGTAGAATGCATACTCTAGCTACAAAAAAACTACGAAAAATCTCCTGTCCCCCCACGTTTAACAAATTGGCGCTGTCGAGTGTTCTTTTTGGTGTGCACAAAACGGCTTCCTTGTATGTATCACCTTGTCTGTTGTCTGCGTCGTCACCGCAGCACACTATTTTTTTCAAACAGTTGGAGAGAATTTTTTGGTACTGATCTTCATTGTGCCTTCCATGACACCCAACTGATTTGCGGAGTCTTTATTCCTATTTTTTTAAATGTTGTAATCTTCTAACCATTTTTGCGGTGGTTTTCAAGAATCCTGTACTGAATGGATTCTGAAGACTTCCCTTTGATTTTTTTGATTTTCCTGATTATTCAAATTTTTAAAATGAAGTAAGTTCATTCACAAAAGCTTTTTTTATAAACTTTTCATAGATAGATGGGGTTAAAATGAGTTGTTTAAAATTTTTCATTTTTGAAACCCTCTTGAAGGTTCTCGAAACTTACAAGGGGAGTGTTGTCAGACGAGCTTCTGAGAATTTTCTAACATTTTTTCTATTGGTATTTTCATTTTCAGTACAGTTTCCGTTGGCTCAAGAATGTTTGCTTTGACGAGGAATGGAAGGTTTTTCTTGAAGAATACGAGGAAAAAGAAGTCATTACATTGGATCCAGACCGTTTTGAGACAAATGCGATAAAGAAAGCGGTCGCCAAGTTGATGATCAACTCTTTGGTATATTGAACTTGTAGTTTTTTAAAGAATGTCTTTTTTCAGTGGGGGAAGTTATCCCAAAGGGTCGACAAGCAAAACACCGTGATTGTCCTCGATCCAGCAAAGTTCTGGAAAGTGAATCACGATACTAGTCTGGTTATCGTCGACGTGAGGCCGGTCAATGATAAGCTCTTCGTGAAGTACCGCCAGAAGGAAGAGACACTTTCGAGCCAAAAGACTAGCGCCGTCCATTTGGCTGCATATACCACCGCATTTGCCCGCCTGAGCCCCTCATGGAGATGGTCGGATCTGGAAATACCTGTTATACAGGAAAACGAATTTTTCGATGTTTCTTTTGTTTTTTGGTATTCTGACACGTTCGAAAGTGTACCAGATTCAATGAAAAACCGCAAAGGTACATTTTGCGGGAAGGAATCCCAAACTTGGATGAACTGAGGAAATATAAGAAGGATCCGGTTTTGATTGTCATTGATGATTTGATGACAAAAATTGATCAACATTGTGGAATGGAACGTCTTGGCACACCAATAGAAACAGCTTCAACAGGATACATACGACCGCTCAAATCACGGAATAGTGGACAGTTTAAGAAGATGTTGTATTTTTCTTCGAAATATCGCTGGACGCAAATATATCTAAGCTGGTGGTTTGGGAACACTCATGTTCATAAAGTAGTCATTTCTTGGAGTCGCATCTCTGAAAACAGAAATGATATAACGTTTTTAAACTACTTTATTTCCAATAATAAACACTTGTTTTTCAAAATTGCCATTCTACAGTACTCCACAAAAGTTTAATTCCACCCTCAGTTTGTACTAAAACAGCTATTTAGGTCAATAGTCGTGAAAAGGTGTCAACATGAAAAATAAAGGTCTCCCTTCAAAACCTACGTACGAAAAACTTGGAGCCATCAACGTGATCCGGAAACGAGAAACCGGAAAAATTCCGAAAATCACGTTTTGGCCGATCCACAAAAGTTTAATTCCACTCTGAAAAAGTGAGATTTTGGAGGTTTTGAAGCTCTGCGACCACTTTTTGAAGGCCTGAATTTCAAGAATTTTAAGATTCTGACCACCATACACAGAGACCATTATACACGGTTACTGATATCTGGATTCCCGATGTCAGATATCCGGATTTCCGGATTCAAAATTCCGGATTCGGGTTTTTTTTTGGGTTCTGGATTATGTTTACTGAATTGTGTGTATTGGATTTAGAATATGTACTTCGGATTCTGTGTTCCGGATTCCGGATGATGGAGTCCGGTTTCCGGATTAGCTTTTTGAATGAGTTTAAGTGTCCCGAGAATCTGAATTTCAGGTTTCCTTGACAAATAAGCGTTTCAGAAAGTTTCTGGAAGGTTACGAAAGCTTCTGAGGTTTTGAGATATTCTGAAGGTACCTGGAATTCTTGGAGATTCACCAGGATCATGAGAAACGGTCCAGTAGGTTGCGTTCTAACTACCACGACAGTAACCGTGTATAATGGTCTCTGTGTATGGGGGTCAGAATCTTAAAATTTTTGAAATTCAGGCCTTCAAAAAGTGGTTGCAGAGCTTCAAAACCTCCAAAATCTCACTTTTTCAGAGTGGAACTAAACTTTTGTGGTTTGGCCAAAACGTGATTTTCGGATTTTTTCCGGTTTCTCGTTTCCGGATCATGTTGATGGCTCCAAGTTTTTCGTACGTAGGTTTTGAAGGGAGACCTTTATTTTTCATGTTGACACCTTTTCACGACTATTGACCTAAATAGCTGTTTCAGCACAAACTGAGGGTGGAATTAAACTTTTGTGGAGTACTGTACTATCCAACTAGAGAAGTTTCTTACAGTTAGCATGTGTTGCTACACGAGAGAAAGTTTTCGCTGTGTTTTTTCATGTGTCCGACAACTGAGAAACTTGGCTAGGAAAAATGATATTAAAAAATAATGAAAAATAACGCATGGAAGCATAAAATTGATATTCTTACATCAAGAATTAGAACAATAGAGAGTGGTAAAAATAATATTATTGTTTTCGCACATCTGGCAGTAAAATGTACTTGCTCCGTTCTACAGAGCTCGTCAATTGAGTAAAAAAGTGTTGTTTTATCTTGTGTTAGTTTAGGGTTTTCGATTGGTCGCTCAGGTTGCATTTCCATTTGAAACTCTCTTGTCACACACATCCCCCTCCCATTCATCTCCACAATTGCATTTCCCATTCTCGAGGTGTCCATTGTTCATACAAGATTTGATAACATCGCAGTTCTCTCCAGAATAATGATTACCACAGATGCAGTGATCTCCGTTGTTACGGTATCTGTGCTGTTGAGTTGGAATTGTCTTTCGCCAGCAGGCCAAACGTTCACAGAATCTTCCGTCCCATGGTGGTGGACAGATACACTCGATTTCCTTCTTTCCAACAGCGATAGTTCCGTTGTGATGGCACATGTGTGGGGTGCATCTGAAATCATATAAATTGAAGTTTTTTTATTCGAAAAAATAAAATTTTTTGTGTCCTAACAACTTAAAAACATCATAGAAATAATCAGCAATTATTTTTATGTCGAAAAAAGTGAAAAAATCGCAAAAAAAAGTGACCCCTTCCAACTAGTATAGCGCCTTCATCTCCAACAAGCAAGTATGTCATAAATGAAACAGAAAAAAAACAAAACACCCGAAAAAAAAAAGAAAAATTCGGTTTTACAGTGGAAAATTCGATGAAAAATGCCTGTTTTTTATGAAAAATACCCCGGCCACAGGCAGTTTCTAGGTCACCGGCCGTGTAGTCCTCTCGGACAATAAAGTCGACAAAAGTCGATTTTTTCGTCGATTTTTCGTCGATTCAAAATCGACAAAAATCGACTTTTGTCGATTTTCACTTTCATCGACTTTTTGAATGTCGAATTTTGGTTGAGTCGACGAAATCGACACCGA